GTGTCAGTGATCATCAGGTCCAGAGCAGCCTCATTGCCTTTGTGGGAGCGGTGGGTCGAGAATGTGACGTGTTGCTGCAAGGCAAACATGTCAAGAAGACATGAAAGGTGGTGGCCTGCAGTGTCTGTTGTTGTTCCATACCAGGTGGAACATTTAGCATTGAAATCTCCCATGATGAGGACTGGCGAGCCAGGGGTCCGTATTTTAGTCAAGCAGCTTTGAAACGAGGCGTAAAAGTTATCTATCACCGACGGGTCGGTGGACGGTGGGCGGTAGACAGCCGCAATTTGGATGGGCTGCTGGCGCGTGGGGCAAGCAGAGGTTCCAGTGGATGGCGATATCTCTACCCAGGTAGCTTCGAATTGCGGAAGATGTAGGTCTGTACGGTGGGTAATAGGACCAAATGCACTTGATTTTACTAAGATAGCAACACCGCCATAGGCCAGGAAGTCGTTGGTGTTAATTTTTTTCTCGGAGGTGGGTCGATCCCTTCGAAAACATTCATAGCCTGGGAAGGAGAGGGAAATTTGTGGACACAACCAGGTTTCAGTTATGCAAACAACAAGGGGACAGCTGGTCGTGAGAAAGTCGGATAGCTCAGCAGATTTGTTTCTAAGGGAACGTGCATTGATACAGGCTACGGGAAAGGAGGCTAGGGGCGTTGAAGGATAGAAGGGTGTTGCGTTAGGGTCAAGTTGAGGTGTTGGTTTACTCATTGTTCAGATTCAGCCTGGTCAGTGTGGAACCTCCATTTCCGGATACTAATTTTGTCAGGCCAGAAACCAGGCCCTTGGATCTTGTCTACACAGTTCTCTCCCACAACCAGGTGGGCATAAGCTGTACCAAAGTACCGTGATTCTGAGATTGAGCAGTGAAAAACTTCGACATCTTTCTTTTTACACCACAGGTCAATTGAGGCAGCATCGCATCCAAGGTCTACATTGCCAAGGTAGAAAGCCGTGCGCTTCACCCGCTCCACGCCCTGAAGGTCAGTGCGTTTGGTACGGGCTGGCTCTTTTGTGAACTGGCTTGTGATAGTGCGTTTCAGTGGACTACCGGTAGTGTTGGTGTCGGCTTGTGCAGGGCGGCGGCGGTGTGGGTTTTGCCACCCATTGTCGCTTGTGCTTGTATCTTGCGTTTGAGGTTTGGCGGGCAGGTCAGGTCTGGCCGTTGGGGTACTACTTCTTGTAGTAGTACGTGTACTACCGTCCGTGCTGGTGTGTGTGCCTGTTGGTGAGGCAGCTTTCCTTGCAGTGCTACTGTACAATTTCTCTTGGTCAGTGCAAGCTGGGGACGCTACGGGTACGGGATTTGTGGACTGCATTCTCTCTACTACTCCCTTCAGTTGAGCAACTTCTACTTGCAAGGAGACAATGGCGTCTGTCTTGCTCGTTCGAAGACATTCTATTTCTGAAGCCATACCTTTTATAGTCTCGTTAAGGAGCTGAAAAGTGGAGAGCAGGTCGCTTACATGACTCATCATTTAATAATGTGGATCTTGATATTGATATCTCCAATGGCAAATGGCTATGCCACCCACTGTCCAATTTTGCTTGTCAGGGGGAAGGAAATGCCATCCTTCCTCTCGTGATTCATCGTTAGAGACGTTGTGCGTGAGTCAAGTTTCCAGTACGCTAAGAACTGCCTCATTTCTTGTTGGATGAGAGCAACGAAGTAAACAAGAAATTTGAACTCGGAAGGTGAGCCAATATAGTTATGATGAAGAAAGGAAAAGGACAAAATGTTACGAGTTGTGACAAACTGTCCACCAACGTAACAGCCAGCAAGTGCGACAAAATGGCACAAAACTGACAAGGAGTACTGAGACTTTCGGCGACCTGACACCGAGTTCCAACACTTCTCCAAGGTGCAAACCAACAACGTTCCAACTTGGAAGGCTCAGGTTCGGAAACGTCCAAGAGAGGAAGGAAAGCCCAACGAAGAAGAGCATGAGCTACGCATCACGGCAACAAAGAATGCCGTAATGCGTAGCTCATGCTCAACACACGGTGCGATTGTTTGTGTTCAGGGACGAATTCCTTGCAGCGGATTGTCCGAAGGCAAAAGGAAAGTTATCAGGTAGACGATGAGGACCATTGCAGTGACGCAGAGGACAATAACAAGGGTGACAACAGGGAGCTTGGCGGAGATTCAGCGAAGGAGACGGAGGACGAAGATAGAGATGAGAAACTCAATCGGGTTGTGAAGAAGAAGAAGAAAAAGAAGAGTTGTCTGATGATTGGTTCAGCCATGAAACTCGGAGTCACAACGGAATAATTTTTTTCCAAGGTTTTCATTGTGTGCCTTTGTGAAGAAAAAGAAGAAGAAGGAAAGTAATTCGCACCAATAAAAACTGGTGGGTAAAAAACCGTCTCGACTGTTTTTTAGGCAGTGACGGAGAAAGTAAAAGGAGAAAAGAAAAAGAAAAAAGGAAGCGGATGCCACTGTGGGCCAATGCCTGGGGTTGAGCAAAAGCGGTGAAGGCTGTTGCTCAAGTTGTTGGTCTGCTTTTGCCCAGGCAAGGCTAGACCTTGGCAGGTACAGTTTGTTATTGGGCAGATCCTGATCCGGTTTATCATCATTTGCATGTAAAACTTGCTGGGAGCAATGCTCCATCGTCTCGGCTGTGACAATGTTAGAAGAAGAAGAAGAAGAAGAAGAAGAAGAAGAAGAAGAAGAAGGAAAAGAAATCTGTTGTGATGTTGCTATTTTCCAAACCCGTTGACCGGGGAAATTATGACAATTTCTAGTTTAGTTTTGTCCGCTGTGCAAATAGTTTCAGGCAGTTGAAAGTGCTTGAAGCTGTGTACATTCGTCTCCGTAACCCTGATCTGGGTCAACAAAAAGAAAATATTACTGCTTTCACACTTGTTCATAATTATTTCACACTCGCCCATTTTATCAATTCATTTTCACATCAAATTTTCTCTCTACTTTCCTAAGATTGTATTTGTAACATCCTTCGCACCCCTGAATGATCTTTTACGAACGGTTGGGATGTATTTATTATCACTCTTTTGCATGCTGTAACTACATATGATGTTCTTTGTTCTGACTCCATTGTGACACGCAAGAATACCTTCTAGAACTAGACCTCTGCTGCTTTGTTGTTTGACATGAGCGCCAGTTGAATTTTGCTCATAGCTATACTGCGGTTGTTATCACGCCAATTATTCACATATCTTGTAACTGTTAGCTCCTTTTTTTGGTTTAGTTTTAGTTCACAAAATTGCTACTTTTTATTTCCAGTTGTTAGTGTCGCTTCATTACAGGTGTTGTTTCTCAACTCTTTTCTTTTTTGGAATTTCATTATATTAATCCCCCTGTCGTATTTGTGTTCTTTAGACTTAGTACAACGTATTCTCCCTAACGAGAGTTGTGCGAAAACTGGATAGAAGTATTTTTTGATTATTCACCACATTTCTTCTGTTAAAACTCGGATGGAGAGCCAAGGATTAAAACAATTATTAAAATAGAGGGAACCATATGTGGACTCGGATTCCTGAATCGTGGTTTGACCTTATTGTCCAATTGACTTGCCAGTATCGTCATCGACATGTATTAACAGCAGCCAACGTCCTTCATAGCAGAGACTCTCGTGCTTATCTTGGTTGCGCTCACCTTCCCCTCCTTATGTTGTTTCTAAAACTTAGAACCTTCCAAGTTGGAAGGCTTATGGGTTGCGTATCCAAGATTTACTAGAGCTGTTAGCCAGATAGTTGTAGAACGTCAGTACCGTCATTCAGTGTCGTGCAATGTTACTGGACGAGCTGATTATTTAGTAACTAGTGGTGTTAGTGGACAGTATAGCGTAACTTTTAGTTCTTTGTCATTTCTCTTTTGTATTAAGGACTATAAGTTTACAAGTTAACCGTTTTGTCCAACACTAACCGCTTCGCGATTTTGTAGTGAGCCATGGTTATTCCGTGCATGGTTCTTCGTCCTTCGTCGTAATCTTGTAATAGCTAATGATCTGAGTTCGCTGTGATTTTTAGCTTGTTTTCGTCTAGAGTGCGCCCATCTTCCCCTTTCTTTCTTTATGTCATAGCTTTAAAGCTTCCAATTTGGACGACTGGTGGTTTGCGCATTCCAGATTTGATGCAGCTAAGCATCAGGTCGTTGAATGTCAGTGTCACATCAGTCAGTTTTGTGCTAATTGTTGCACATTTTGACTCACCATTATCCTGCTTATAATGGTAAGTGTTGAAGAAAAAGGAATACTTGTAAACTGACGGGAGTTACGGCCCTCTCGTTTTCAATTTCGTTTGTTTCTCTACATTATTGTCACATTTTCGCAATAAATCCGGTTCACATGTCGATTCAGCTCACTCTTTTGTTCGCAATTTTGAACCTTTTCTTCATCTCGTCTCTTATTTACTACGCGTTAAATATGCATATTAGCATTTTCACATGTACAAATTACCACCTTCATGGTCCCCATCTCCTCGCTCCTAAACGTATTTCTCTTTAGTTGTTGACGTGTGGTTCTAAGCCTTATTTGCCCTCTTATTAATGCCAGTAGTATGTGGAGTCACATGATGTCGCGCAATAGTTCTGAGCAGCTCCCCCTGGCATTTCGGAACTGTACTCAAATTTTGGAGGAACAGCCCACTGCCACTTACAAAATACGAAATAAATAGAAGTCACAAAAGTTGGGAGATTCTACCACCCCCCCCCCCTCCCCTTATCACAGCAATCCCATTTCGAAATACGCAAACTCATCATAATTATCATGTCTCCGGTTGTTCTAGGGTTAAACGTGTTTTACACAATCTTCTGAATACAAATTCATTCGGTTATGTAGAAGTATTCCAGTGGTTCGTGGGATCCGTGTAAGACTTTATATATCTTGCTCATCAGTGTAGTCATAGTGATCATATTTCAAGTAAATCTATCCTATCTTTCTTCTATTGGTTTTGAGACCACGTGAAGCAACTATACAGAGTCAGAAGGCTCACACTGTTTAGTTATAATGAATAACATAGATCAGTAACGCTTACCTGCGGCCGGTAAGTTGTTTTTGCAAATGACGACAGCAGTTGCAGGACACTGCACTGGAATATTCTTATAGCATGATAGAGAAGAAGTATCGTTGGCCCAGACTGTAATGTTTTCTCCCAATCGGTTGCTTAAATGTTTCATGAAATCCTGCACACATGTATCACCGACATCCGGGGGTGTTATGAGAACGTACTTAAGCAAAGTGCATTTCGTTGGAGCTGAAGCGCTCTTTTGTTTACCCCAGCTATTTCCGCTGATAAGGAAGGTTCCCGAGGCATCATTGCAATTGAAAAGTTCTGTGACGAGAATCAAGAATAAAAACAACTGAGATGATACTCTAAAGAACTCAATGATGATTTTATTACAATCGCTATGCAAACAACGTAGAAGCTTCTGGCGCAAGCCAGAGTCCTCAGGGCTTTAATTGGGTGTATGTATGTTGGTGTGTGTGTGTTTGTGTGTGGGGGGGGGGGGTGTGGGGTGTGTGCGCGTGTGAGTCACTGTGTATGTGTGTGTGTGTTGTGAGAGTGACTGTGTGTGTGTGTGTGTGTTGTGAGAGTGACTGTGTGTGTGTGTGTGTGTGTGTGTGTGTGTGTGTGTGTGTGTGTGTGTGTGCATGTGTGTGTGTGTGTGCCAACTAGTTCGGTTGGTGGGTACACTTATGCCAGATAGTGTTGGGCCTGTTGCCAACGGGCTCGGCTGCTTGAAGGTGTATTGTTGTACCTACCACCTTTGTTGGTTTCAGGGTTCATATACTTTCTATTTGAAGTATACATACCTGTTAACCATGGACTACTTCTGGCTAGATAAACTCTTGTGTAATCAATGGTGCTAGTGAAGCTTTTATCAGATCCACTCTGATTTAGCCACCCACACTAGTACCAAGTATTACCTTCACTGGGGGCAGGGGTAACTGCAGTTGGATCCCGGGACGGATACCCTGATGCCGTCAATCCTTTTTCTGCACCTTGCCCTCACCCACTTACTGAGGTGTGGTGAGCCCATAAGTGGGATCATTTCAAGTCCACCCTAGTTTGGGGATCTCAGGGGGTGTCGGCCGTTGGGTGGTTCAATGGCCAATTGAGTCATCTTTCCAAGATTCCTTTTGAGTCTCTCTCCCCTCTTCCGGGGAGACCCACGTGACCAGTTTTGGCAGTGAGCAAGTACAAGTACAAGTGTGTGTGTGTGTGTGTGTGTGTGTGTGTGTGTGTGTGTGTGTGTGTGTGTGTGTGTATGTGTGTGTGTGTGTGTCCCATATGGTGCAGTGGTATGTGCAGCGATTTCCAATCGATAGGTTGCGGGTTCGATTCCCGACGATTATGGTCACACACGTCTTTCTTCTCTTTCTCAGACTCTTCCTGACTTTTCTTTCATTCTCCTGGGTGGTTACCAACAGCCAGTGCATGCCGGAGTATGTGGTGTGATGTGTGTGCGGGAAAAAAGAAGAAAAAAAAGACCAAAAAGTAGGGATTCACTGGCCAGAAAAAAGCCACTTCAAAGCTGTGTGGTGTAGACCAGGCTGAATAGTGGTGGTCAATTCTTCAGCCTTGCAAGCTGTTGAATGGTGCAATCCCAGCACAAGTTGCTATTGTAATGGGTTAGCCGAGTGGTAGGCGCGGTGAAATCAACAAGAATTACTTTTATTCTACTTTCAGGTACACACCTGAGATATAATCGTTCGTGAAAGAAGGAACGGCAAAATAACTGACTTTCTCTCCGGTGCTCACCTGGAGGTTGAATAGCTCGTTATTATCAAAATCTCATCTTCGAGTTATCTTTCATTGCTATCCAATCTAATCTAATCTTCTCTTTATCAAAACAGAAATGCGCAGCCGCTTTTATGCAGCAGACGACGTACGCTTACATACGGAGATACACTAAATATACATCAGGCAAAGCTCCGTATTAGTTCCGTACTGCTTCCGTATTGGTCGGGCAGGGATACTACACCCTCCCTTCCTACAGATAATCACGCCCTCGTGATTTTCCAAAAAATTAGTGAAGAGTTACGAACACAGCGTCAACCGGAAGATGGCAAATTATATCGGAAATGATAACGTTTAGAGTAGACAGAAGAAATGAACTGATAACAAATCATAAAGTAGAAGCACCACCAGGTTCACACGATCTCACGGGGTTAAAAGGGGAAAGAAATGTCCTCCAAATAGGACCTGAAAAACTACAGCACTCTTGCTGCACAACGCTGGCACAACCCGCCAGGAACATCGCAGTTCAAAACCCGAACTGAATACACTATAACTATAAGGGGCGTTGTCACACACATTGTCCCACGTTAGCTGGGTAAGCCGTGGCTCACCATGATCAGACGCCTACCAAACTAAACTGGATTCACACACTCGCATAAAGGAAGACTGAAAAGAAAAGGGAGACTGAAGGAAGACAGGAAAGAAAATGCCATACCTGGAATCAGCGTTAGTAACCACGGCGGCGGCTGGTGCTATGGCCAGTATTGGCGGAGGGCGAGCCAGGTTTTATCTTTATCTTGGTTGGGCCGGTCACTCAGAGCGGCTAGCTCGGCGTCAGACAGATCACTCCCTCCTCGTCTTGAATCATGGTCTTCACATTGTCGATAGCATCGCTTGGCGCAACGTAAAGAGTGATGGTCTAGCCAGGATGAGTGTTGACGAAATTCTGCATTCCACCACGGAGACGAAGTACCAAGTGAATAGTGGACTCCTGCTGAACGTTGTAGTCACTCAGGGTTCGGCCGTCTGCCAACTACGCGCCGGCAAAAAATCAAACGCTGCTGGTCTTGGGGAATACCCTCCTTGTCTTGGTCAGCAGCCTGCATGTCGTCGTCCTCATCAGCTGGGGTCGAATCACGTTGTTTTATTTAAAACTACACCGCTGCCACCAATGTAATAGGTAGCCGAGTGGTAGGCGCGGTGAAATCAACAAGAATTACTTTTATTCTACTTTCAGGTACACACCTGAGATATAATCGTTCGTGAAAGAAGGAACGGCAAAATAACTGACTTTCTCTCCGGTGCTCACCTGGAGGTTGAATAGCTCGTTATTATCAAAATCTCATCTTCGAGTTATCTTTCATTGCTATCCAATCTAATCTAATCTTCTCTTTATCAAAACAGAAATGCGCAGCCGCTTTTATGCAGCAGACGACGTACGCTTACATACGGAGATACACTAAATATACATCAGGCAAAGCTCCGTATTAGTTCCGTACTGCTTCCGTATTGGTCGGGCAGGGATACTACACTATGGCTTCTGCTGTAGCATCGCTATCATCGCCTCTGGCGATGGGCGTCCAATGGTCAATGGTCAATGGTGTGTGTGTGTGTGTGTGTGTGTGTGTGTGTGTGTGTGTGTGTGTGTGTGTGCGGTACAGTATCATCACGGGATTCGCCATGTGTCCAGTACTGTTCCGTCAAAGAGAGCTACATGTAGCTGGCCACCATATTTGAATAGGCCTTTCAACGGCAGGATGATAATCTGAAACAACGTGGTAGGATGTGTATGTATGCGAAGTGCATCGAGGGTATGCATGCAGGGCAATAGCGCGGGTTAGAATCACATGTTATGTGAACAAAATGTACCTCTCATGGGAGCTAGTGATAGATTTATGGATCTATGTGTGTTTATGAGCTTCACCTGTATCCGACCATTGTTCCAATATGGTAACACGCTTTAGGAAATGGATTTTTGTGGGCCACAAAATTGTGAGAGCGATACATTTTCAATTTTTTATGATTCATGGTTCCTATATGAACCCAGACTAATATTGAGTTTGGAGGTACATCCAGCCTCCTATGTGAAACGGTCTCCCAATACTGAGCCAAGTAAGCGTGTATCGAAAGCAGTTTATGTCTGAAGTGTATACCTAGATGCATGACCACATATCATAATTTTTCCAAAGGAGTATGTTTTGTCTATGATGTGGGGCTGTGCCTGCCAAATATTGTTGGAATGTGGCTATTCATACAGAAGTTATACATGAACGGCTTCGAAATACTATTTTCTCATATCCGAGCAACGGGAAAACGGCTACCAAAATATACCCAATTCTGAATGGTTTGTAGAAATATCTGATTTTCTTATCTACCGCCTGAAGAGACATTATGATACCTCGCCAGGATGCATTGACGTTATTTCCACGTCATCTCGGCCAACGATAATTACCATGGAAAATCACTATGGCAACCTAATGTGTTTGAAATTATTTGTAAAGCTACCAATACTTTGTACAGGTGGTAACTTCGGTTACAAAAAGTGCACAGTTTTTCCTGTCATTCTTCATTTCCAACTCAAAGAGAAGTGCATAAACTTGTCACAAATAATGCTCTCACAGCAGGGCCAGAAGCTTTCAACAGAATCATGTGGCGATAAATATAGAATAGATTTCCGGTTCCACGGTTCCATGTGGCCAATTGCTGTTAGTCCGCAGTCACATCAAACAAGCCATTTCCAGCTTGCGCTGAAAGTGGCTTGTGCTCAGTGAAGCCGTTAGTCGCATCGACCCCTGAAATACGCTGAATTTTTGTTCGTGCTATGGAGGTTTTTCTTCACGATCATTTACGAAATTGATTTTTTGAGCAATCGAGGAGGAGTAGGCTTTCCCCAAATCGGCCCGTTTTTTCGCATAATCGACTTTCCCTAAGCTCAAAAATACATCATATTCGGATGCAAAATCAGCTGATTGTTCGAAAATCGACTACAAATTTTCAGCATAATTCAGCATTCAGCATTATCCTTCGTTATCTAGTTTCCGATCACTCAGTGTGCACTAGGGCATGCCTTCATAAAAGCGACTTCGTTTCATTTCATATACAATCGTTGAATAGTTTGACCTGGGCATCTTCTTTATCAAATGCTTTTGGATATTTTGACACAAGGGACGTCGTCCAACACTGGAAAATGTTTCTCTCACCAATCTATTAGGTTTCCACTATCATTTGAGTGAATCCTGGGCCGATTACTCGCAATAGTGTCGTCCAAATCGGGTATTTTTATGCGCCCGTGATCCCGTTGTTCCCATATGGGAACATTCCACTAACAGGGCTATCTTTGATCCGAATTCAATCATATTTCGACACCGAGGTTATTCAATCAGAATACACTTGCGTGGGACATTTCGTAATGATAGGGCAATTCCTTGATTGGTCGGGATGATAAAGGTAAGGTTCATTTTGTTATAATTTTGTTGAATACGAAAAGGACGACTGACGACTTGTTATCCAGACATTACAACGGGAACAGATAAGTTGGTGGAACGACATTTATTATAGACGGGACAAGAGACCAAGACGAACGAAACGACTACATGGTGATTATTGAAGAGCGAGAAAAGAGAGCAAGTCTGAACGGCAAGATAAAGGGCCTGGGTAGCTATGGCAATTATGGGCGCGCCAGTAGCTACCCAGGCCAACGGAACAAAAGGAGACAAAAGGTGAGTACGCGAGTGCATGCATGCCAGCTAGAAAAGGTACGGGAGGAGGTACCTAACAATTTGGAACAAGAGGGCTTAAAAGCCCAAGAGCCCTTGTTAGGCTTTCAATTAACGGATGTCCTCATGTGCGTTACTCGAACTGATAGAAACGGCATTGCGATACAAAAACATGTGACCAATAATCGCATGTGCATAAATGTTTCTATAAGTTCGAGTAACACATATAAGAACATAAGTAAAAAAAGCACAGCGAGAGCTCATGGGATTTCAAGCCCTCTTTTCTCAGGTTGAGCCAGCGTTCGGTCAACAGAGGATAAAGAGGGTGAAGACGTTAGACCTTGCACATCAGTGTTCTTTCGCAAACTTCGTACTTTGAAGTACTTTAGCCAGATACGCTGTACTTTATTGACTATGGGCGCAGCGTGTATAACGGAGAGCATCGTGTATAGGGCAAGAGTCACCACAGGCTTAGAGAAGGAGGAATATACTGGATTAATAGCAACAATATTCAAACAACGTTACCATAACCACCAATCATGATTTCGCCACAGACGACACGAGAATGACACCCGCCTATCGCAGTACGTCTGGGCCAAAAGGGATGAAGCGAAGGCATGCAGCATTCAACCCGCTCCAGTGCGTGGATCTTTCACAACTGCGGTCATTGACGCCATGCCGTGATGCAATATTTCGCAACTGCTATCATTTACACTTTTGCTTTGTGGTTGTATAAACTAGTATCCACAGTTACTCATTGGTGTTTTCTGATGATCGCTTATGGCGTAAAACTCGGAGCTAAAACACTTTTTCATGCTCGTACTGCAGTTTATTGATCATACGGACCTGAATCAAAAATATAAAAAATGGTAAAATTAATGGTCTTTGATGGAGAATCTAGTTTGAGAGAATATTAAATTAGCTACAAACAAAAGAACGTTTCTTCTATCATCGCCAGAAAGGAAATCGGATTAACTGCTACGTGTTTGATTAGGTGGAATGGCATCTTTGACTGGGAATCTGAACAGGAACACTTGGTCGCTCTATGCGTTCACTCTAACGCAAAGATATCCTGCCGATTGTTAATTTGGAAGTGACCTTTTCAACCTTGACAGTAATCTCACGAATTAGTATGCTGCGCAGTTCTCTTGTGTCTGTAACTAATCTAAAGTATAGACACTCAGCTCAGCATGAGAAACCGGAGCTTGAATACCCGAAGCCGTAGTCTCTTTGTCACACTCCTTGTCTATCTACGTTCTTTGTACACGATCCACATAGATCAGACCTTCTCCTACTTCAGGGGCAATTTGAATGGATCTCAACCAACTTACCGACATGCGTCTTAGCGTCGGTGCTACTCCGCAAAAGCACCAAACATTGAAGAATACAAATCCATGCCTTTACCAGTTTCATCGTGTCGGGCTGCATGGACCGACCTGCAAAACAAAGTGCGAATAAACACGAAAAGTCGGTGACTCGGATGGAGAGCCAAGGAAGAATTTAACGGAAAAAGTATACTGTCCAATACATAGATACTGGACAATCAGCTCATGCGATATCACCTGTCTTGGTTGCACGCGCACGCGCCTTCCCCCTCCTATGTTAGTACTATATCTTAGAACCTTGGAAATTGGAGGGCAGTAGGAGTGCGCATCCAAGACGTAAAATTTGATTGGCAGTTAGTTGTAGAACGTCAATACCGTTGGTCAGTGTCATGCTATGTTTTTCCATGAGCTGATTGTCCAGTAATTGATCGTATCAGTGGACAGCATAGTGTAACGTGTAGTTTCGTAAAGTACTTTTGGTTATACTTTTTCGAATACAGTAACAGGAGGCATGTGCCATTAGCTTCGTTTATGTGTCGACATGCAGGATTGTATAATGAAAGGCCATCTAGGATATAGAAAAAGAACTGAGACACTGATTTGTTAACAGCGGCCATTTTGTCACAGTCCCCAGTGGACTACGCAACATACCGGTGAGTAGGAGAACTACTTGAAAGAATCATGAATATGGACAAGTAAAATGTGCTAGCGGTTAGTAGAAACGAGATGATAGTCGTACAACAAACAGCGAATATGCGGTAATGAGAAAATAGATCAGCAGAAGAACACAGGCACATGTGAGTAGCACCACAACATGTAAGTGGAGAAAATTGGCATGTATGGAACGTGACAGAGTGTGTCCAAAGCTAAATTGCCATTAAATCGAGTCCTTTCGATGTATGCATGCCCGTAACAATGTGTCGGTTGTGCAAGGCTACTTCTCTATCAGAATAATTTGGGTTTTGACCTGTCTCGTTTATGCACAACACTTCAGAATTGCGCTAATTTGCATTCCGACAGAGAATTAGCTGGCGTAACAGTCGATCCTGCAACGTCTCTAAGTGCGGAATCTGTAGGCATTTCTACACATATTTCCGTGCTATTGTCGTGCTTTGGTCTTTGTCACTTTCATCAATCAGACTTCATCTACGTGATTCGACACTTATCTGCACGCAGGAAACCTTTGTGATAGCTCCGGCTCCGTTAGACAAGGCTGGAACATCGCATAGAATTATCTCGCCTCTGGGAGAACCTCTAAAGAAAGATTTTTATAATGTTGCTGGATCATCTCCTATATGCTTTTTTTAGTATATTCACGTACCAAGATTGTTGTTTTTGTCGATTGATGCCTTGGCTCCAATGCAAGCATGCCATTTTCGCTTTTCCTTCTGTTAATCGCAGAACCTGGTCTTGTGCAAAGCAAAAGCCGTGTTACACGTGGCCAGATCTCACAACTTCTCCAACTTCCATTCGTTCGTGGACCAGCATCTCGAGCGTCCATGTTGTTCGTAGGCAGCGTGTATTGCAACAGGCTTCCGGCAAATATTCGTTGCGATGAAGATATTCTGGGTTTCATAGCCGCACTGTGCCCAGATGTTCTTGAAGAGCTTTCTCTGTCTTGACGCATTCGTTAGACATATGCATTTGATCTTTTGTTAGTTTGTCTCTAATCGACAAAATAACTTTTTTCCTCGAATACCTCAACTTCTTTACTTCTATTTCATACATCTGCTTCGTTTATTCCTTACTCTTTCTTTCTTTCATAAAAATTAATAGAAAAAACAAGTTTTTCTCATATTTTCCAATTTTTGTTTTCATTAGCTACAGCGGATCCATTCACATTCTTCATCATATGAGAACTAGACCTGGTCTAGTGAGAAGGCATTCTACTTCCTGTAATTCTGGTGAAGTAAAATAGAGTAACAACAAGAACGACGACGAAATTGTCATTTCTGATCAGTACATGGCCGCTGATGGTGAGGCTGGCGCTTTTTCCCTGGATTAGAAGGTGAATGAGAAAACAGGTTTGCAGCACCTCAGTGACCTGCCGTATAAGCACTTTGATTCTGTTACTGTTTGTTCTGACCCCGAGATTCAATCTTTTTTTGAATGCACAAAAAACATCATTAATGCACGCAGGAGATGTCTCCAACCCTGTTGTAATCATAGGAGACTACTTTCAATCGAGTCGTGCTAAGTATAAAGCAATTGCTTCTAGGTGTTTTATAACCCATACACTGCACTACACTACAATATAGGTTCTTCTGTTATTGCTAGCCTGGTCGTGCAGGGAATGTGATCAAAATTTAACGTGCAAGGAATGAGATCAAAATTTAATTCCCCTAGCTATGCAGAAGACGTTATTTCAGCAACGTCCGGCGCTAGCCAGGGTCCACACAGCTTTAATTTCGTGTTTGTTCGTTTGTGTCACGCCTGGCGCTATCCCGTATCTGTCCCGTCCCGTACCATCAAGAGAATGAGTATGTATAGTAGCATTATGTATAGCAGTAAATCTGTAAACACCAAGAAATGAGTGACTGTCGAGGGCTGGAATTTATGTATGCGAAGTGTATAGGGGTAATGCATGCAGGGCGATAGTGCAGTAACGTCTGGCGCTAGCCGTGTTCCACTGGTTGTAGTAGTACAGTTGCACTCACTGAAATCAGACCCAACGTGCAAAGCTGGCGCCCTTAGCTTCCACGGCCTTTGGCGACCTGGAAGTGGAATGAATGCAGGGGTACACATGTACGCATACAATGATGGAATCGGAATTGGTCCAAGCGTCAGCTTTGTACTTTAGGTCTGATTTCAGTGACCGCAACTGTAGTAGTAGTAGTAGTAGTAGTAGTAGTAGTAGTAGTAGTAGTAGTAGTAGTAGTAGTAGTAGTAGTAGTAGTAGTAGTAGTAGTAGTAGTAGTAGTAGTAGTAGTAGTAGTAGTAGTAGTAGTAGTAGTAGTAGTAGTAGTAGTAGTAGGAAAACGCTTATGCACCCAGGAAGTCCCACCAGAAGAGCTAAGTTCGTTCACTGCGGCCCGCCTCATCCCACTGGACAAGCAACCGGGGGTGCGCCCTATCGCTGTTGGGGAGGTTTTCCGGAGACTAATAGGCAAAGCTGTGATGAAGATAATTCAGTATGACGCCATGCACGCCACAGCCCCTCGTCAACTCTGTGTTGGTGTTCCGTCTGGGTGTGAAGCTGCAGTGCATACGATGACCGACATGCTTGTCTCGCCGGAGGTGGAGGGTGTGCTCTTGGTCGATGCCACCAACGCTTTCAACGCTATGAACCGCACAGCAGCCCTACACAACGTGCCACTCGTCTGCCCTGCCCTGGGGCAGGTGTTCAAGAACACCTACAGCAGTCCATGCCGCCTGTTTGTGTCGGGTGGTGGAGAGATAAGGAGTCAGGAGGGTACCTGCCAAGGTGATCCTCTCGCCATGGCGATATACGCGGTCGCCATGATGCCATTGATAGACAAGCTGTCAGAGTGCTGCCCCGACGTGGTGCAGCTATGGTATGCTGATGACGATGCTGGTGGTGGACAGCTCCTCAATCTAAGGCAGTACTGGGATGGGATTCTGGAGCATGGCCCTGGGTATGGGTACTACCCTAACGCGAACAAGACAACACTAATTGTCAAGGAGCAGCATTCGGCCCTGGCACTCCAGCTTTTCAGGGACACGGGCATTCGTGTTGTGACCGAGGGTGCTCGTTATCTTGGCGGCGCACTCGGTACAACGGTCTTCTGTGAGGAGTATATCACAGATTTGATCGACAAGTGGACGCTGCAGGTTGATCGCCTGGCGGAGGTGGCCACCACTCAGCCACATGCTGCGTACGAGGTGTTTGTAAAGGGCCTCGTGTCCAAGTGGCGGTACCACTTGCGCGTCCTATCTTGCCCTGCGCATCTTCTGGCCCGTCTCGACGCCGCCATTACGGACAAGCTGCTGCCAGCGCTCAGCGGCCATTCGTGTTCGGACGAGTCGGCACTGAGAAAGTTGCTATCGCTACCAGCGCGGTTTGGTGGCATGGCAATCCCTGTGCCCTCGGTGGAGGCCGAGAAAGAGTATTCTGCATCCAGACAGATTGTGGCTCCTGTGGCGGCCTGCATAAGACCACCAGAACATCCAACGAGCACCAACGAAACTACTCAAACAGACCAGCTGAACGAGGCAATAGCCCTCAGCCGGCAGGAGGCCGGGCGTATTCGCAGAGAGAAAGCTGCCCAAGCCACGGGTCTCGTTAGCGAATTGCGCCCGGATTTGACAGCAACACAGGCGCTGTTGGTGGAGAATGCCGCGGAAAAGGGCGTATCATCTTGGGTAACGGCGGAACCATCGTCCCAAATGCAGATGGTGCTGAACAAATCGGATTTCCGAGATGCGTTCTGCATCCGCTACGGCCTGCAGCCTGACGGACTCCCCCTGACTTGTGTATGTGGTGCTGCAAACACAATAGACCATGCGATGATGTGTCCGGCAGGCGGCTACCCCATGGCACGCCACAATGAGATCCGGGACTTGTTGGCTGACGTGATGCGTGAGGCGGTCCGGGATGTGGAGGTGGAACCGCCTCTACTACCATATGATGGTGAGCGGCTCCAAGGGAGGACAGCCAACCGCTCGGCAGGTGCCCGCCTGGACATCCGGGCTTGTGGCTTCTGGACGAGACAGCAAGATGCCTTTTTCGACATCCGGGTTACACACCCAAAGGCAAGCTTGCTGTCGCGTCAGGAAGTCATCAGCCAGCTCCGAACGCATGAACGGATGAAGAAGCGCCAGTACGGAGAGCGGGTGACAGCAGTTGACAGAGGTACGTTTACACCGCTAGTTTTTTCTACCTCGGGCATGATTGGCAGAGAATGTTCAATGGCACTGAAGACACTGGCATGCCTGATTGCTGAGAAGAACGTCGACCTACACGTATCGGTTATCATGGGTCAGCTCCGTTGTAAGCTGTCAGTCTGCCTTATGCGATGGGCAGTCACCTGTTTGCGTGGTTCAAGATCGTCATACCGCCGCAACAGAATGAATTTCACGACGATGTGCAGGTTGCGGGCAGCCTGAGCGTGATAGTACCTGACAGACATTTGCCCAACATTGCCCCATGATAATGAATTCTTGAGTTTTTGGACATTGTATTGCATTGCTGCTCCATCTACATGGCTGTATTTGTGTTTCACATCTCCATTTCAAGTTTCCTAATAAAGATTGTGTCAAGTAGTAGTAGTAGTAGTAGTAGTAGTAGTAGTAGTAGTAGTAGTAGTAGTAGTAGTAGTAGTAGTAGTAGTAGTAGTAGTAGTAGTAGTAGTAGTAGTAGTAGTAGTAGTAGTAGTAGTAGTAGTAGTAGTAGTAGTAGTAGTAGTAGTAGTAGTAGTAGTAGTAGTAGTAGTAGTAGTAGTAGTAGTAGTAGTAGTAGTAGTAGTAGTAGTAGTAGTAGTAGTAGTAGTAGTAGTAGTAGTAGTAGTAGTAGTAGTAGTAGTAGTAGTAGTAGTAGTAGTAGTAGTAGTAGTAGTAGTAGTAGTAGTAGTAGTAGTAGTAGTAGTAGTAGTAGTAGTAGTAGTAGTAGTAGTAGTAGTAGTAGTAGTAGTAGTAGTAGTAGTAGTAGTAGTAGTAGTAGTAGTAGTAGTAGTAGTAGTAGTAGTAGTAGTAGTAGTAGTAGTAGTAGTAGTAGTAGTAGTAGTAGTAGTAGTAGTAGTAGTAGTAGTAGTAGTAGTAGTAGTAGTAGTAGTAGTAGTAGTAGTAGTAGTAGTAGTAGTAGTAGTAGTAGTAGTAGTAGTAGTAGTAGTAGTAGTAGTAGTAGTAGTAGTAGTAGTAGTAGTAGTAGTAGTAGTAGTAGTAGTAGTAGTAGTAGTAGTAGTAGTAGTAGTAGTAGTAGTAGTAGTAGTAGTAGTAGTAGTAGTAGTAGTAGTAGTAGTAGTAGTAGTAGTAGTAGTAGTAGTAGTAGTAGTAGTAGTAGTAGTAGTAGTAGTAGTAGTAGTAGTAGTAGTAGTAGTAGTAGTAGTAGTAGTAGTAGTAGTAGTAGTAGTAGTAGTAGTAGTAGTAGTAGTAGTAGTAGTAGTAGTAGTAGTAGTAGTAGTAGTAGTAGTAGTAGTAGTAGTAGTAGTAGTAGTAGTAGTAGTAGTAGTAGTAGTAGTAGTAGTAGTAGTAGTAGTAGTAGTAGTAGTAGTAGTAGTAGTAGTAGTAGTAGTAGTAGTAGTAGTAGTAGTAGTAGTAGTAGTAGTAGTAGTAGTAGTAGTAGTAGTAGTAGTAGTAGTAGTAGTAGTAGTAGTAGTAGTAGTAGTAGTAGTAGTAGTAGTAGTAGTAGTAGTAGTAGTAGTAGTAGTAGTAGTAGTAGTAGTAGTAGTAGTAGTAGTAGTAGTAGTAGTAGTAGTAGTAGTAGTAGTAGTAGTAGTAGTAGTAGTAGTAGTAGTAGTAGTAGTAGTAGTAGTAGTAGTAGTAGTAGTAGTAGTAGTAGTAGTAGTAGTAGTAGTAGTAGTAGTAGTAGTAGTAGTAGTAGTAGTAGTAGTAGTAGTAGTAGTAGTAGTAGTAGTAGTAGTAGTAGTAGTAGTAGTAGTAGTAGTAGTAGTAGTAGTAGTAGTAGTAGTAGTAGTAGTAGTAGTAGTAGTAGTAGTAGTAGTAGTAGTAGTAGTAGTAGTAGTAGTAGTAGTATTAGTAGTAGAATTTATTATTTTGATAGGGAAGGCCCTACAGACGTTGCCGTCTTGTTACAGGACAACACGAGACAGGCAGATAATTCCACCTATCAGCGCCAAGGAAAGAAATAGAGAACATGCCATATCTAGTGGTAGCACCGGGCAAAGAAAGTGAAGAGAATGATTGCCCTCTAGTGCGCCTCTCGGTGCCAGTAGCAGCCGACTTGAGGGTGAACATTGAGGAAAGAAGAGGGTCGGTAGAGGCAAGGCATGTATGCGAAGTGTATCGGGGGAATGCATGCCGGGCGACAGTGCATGCAGTAACGTCTGCCGCTAGCCAGGGTCCACAAAAACCGATTATCATGTATGCGAAGTGTATAGGGGGAATGCATGCAGGGCGCAAGTGCACTATGCAGAAACGTCTGGCGCTAGCCAGGGTCCACTTGTAGAGGCCTGGCATATGTGTATGTGAAGTGCATCGGGGGAATGCATGCAGGGCGATAGTGCAGTAACGTCTGGCACATGCATGATGAGCTAGGCAAAAAAAGTATAGCGTAGGGCACCGAGCTTCCAAGCTCTCTCGTTAACAAAATTAACGTTGATAGGGGACTCAGAAAGACTCCAAGCTGCAGAAAAAACCCGAAGTCCTACCTAAGACATAAATCACGCCACTGTGTACGTGGACACGTAACTAGACAAGCCCAGAGTGAAACAATTCTCCGAAAGTGGTGTTGGGAGATTTTCTGAAGAAAAGAATTAGTGTGTGTTTATTCTTTCCGCCTTCCGAACATCTTCGTCAGCATGGGCAACTGGTGCTTTCCCTGCTATTTGGAAACACGCAATTGTAACTCCGGTCTTTAAGAACAAGGGAAGTAAGCTCGATGCATCGAATTACCGCCCGATCTCGTTATTGTCAACAATCTCCAAGCTGTGTGAACGTATTATGTACAACCACTTATACACTTACCTGTCTCCTGTTCTACATCCGTCCCAGTCTGGATTCCGAAAAGGCGACTCTACGTCCTGGCAGCTTCTCAGACTTGTTCAATCGATGTCTTCTGTTCGTGAGAACGGCCATTACAGCATGCTATGTTTCTTTGATCTAAGCAAGGCCTTCGACACAGTATGGACACGCGGGCTCCTATACAAGCTGTCGCGCCATAGAATCCATGGTACTTGCTTCACGTGGCTCCGTACTTACCTGACGGGCAAACAGCAAAGGGTGCGTGTCGGCTCTGCTCTGTCTGCCAAAGGGCATGTACGGTCTGGAGTTCCTCAGGGATCAATCCTGGGGCCTCTCCTCTTTCTTATGTATGTAAACGATCTGGCAGAAATGGATCACACATCACTATATGCTGATGATACAGCACTACTTGTGACAGCACCCACTCTCCCCGAGGCTAGTGCCAAGTTACAGTCCAACATAGATGGCGTTATTCATTGGATGGAAAAATGGACATTGCAGCCCAACTCTTCGAAAACTGCTGTAATGTGTATCCCCCCCCCCCCCAGTTGTTCCTGTGACCTATCTTCATTAGTAACCAGTCCCTTCACCTTTCCAGGCACCACAAACCCGCTCTGCATCGTTGAAAAACACAAGCATCTTGGTGTCATTATTGACCAACACTTAACCTGGAAATCCCAGATCGAACATTTAGACAGCCGTGTTAGCTCAGTAATGGGATTTCTCTCATCACACATCACCCACCTCCACACCGACTGTCGCCATGTTATCTACACATCTTACATTCCGCCTATTTTTGATTACTGCTGCATAATTTGGGCCGGAATTTCTAAAACACTGATTGCTCGACTCGAAGTTATGCATAGGCGTCTTTTGAAAATATTATTTTGGCTTCCTCGCCTGACTCCAAGCGCAGACTTATACCGCCTTGCTTCTGCTGTGCCGCTCTCGGTCCGCGTGCGTTTTTTGGCATGCCAGACAATTCATAAAATTAAGCTGGGCATTGCTCCTCTTCATGCTCTCTCCTGCCTAAGCTGGTTTGCTCAATCTCAAGACATGCGCACCAGAAACTCTCTCCGCTTCCCTATTGCGCGGTCTGCCTCCATGATAACATCTCCTCTCTTCCTTGCTTACCGCCATTGGTCTCTCCTCCCACAACATCTAAAATCCTGCCAATGTTACAATACATTCACACAGCTACTGCAGAATGCAACATACTAGTTGACATCCAGCCCTGCCCTAGCTTCTCTTGCTTTTCAGTTCCCCTTTCATTCTTTTTCTTTCTCCCCTCTAGCTCTATTACCGCCATGGCTGGCTATCGCCCACATCACCATTTCATTGGCTAGTGCCACGTGATTGTGAATAAATAAATAAAATAAATAAATGGGATTTGAACGGCATTAATGGATCAGCGCATGATCGCTTGCTGTTTGTTATGTTCAAGCTTTTCCATCCTGAATACCACTTAGGCACTTGGCCTTCCACAACTATTTGTCCTGCACTGAATCTCCAAAAGACATAGAAATGGCGAACTCGGGTTATGTTGCTTTCGGAGGCTAGGGAAGGGTGGAATTGGCGGCAAGCCGTCTCATATTGTTCTTGTTTGGAACTACTGTCTCCACGCAATACAACTAAGAATGGTTTCCCCCGTCTTGAATGCGGTAATTAGGATTTTGCCCATGACAGTTGATATAACCTTGGACTGGAGTTTTCACGTCATTTATGATATCAAAATGACTTACTTGAAATGCACCCACGGTCGGTCCTCAGTCTTCCTGTTCTTCCTTGCTCCCGTGTTATAGTACTTGAAACTCCTCAGTTAACAGCGGTTTCCAGCCTTTGGACTAGAAAAGAAGATGTTCTCTTCCTCACAGGTCAGTGGAGCTGTCCTTGTTTACACGGTCTATACTTTGTCCTCTATCTGACAACTGCCTACTTGATTAGTTACAGTCTGCATGCAGTTCTCGCCTGAACGAAGTACTAGTGACACAAATTCCCTGGGAATCCTGGTCCACAGGTGGTCACTGCTGCTTCCGGTGAAATAAACACAGAGCCTCGTAACAACAGTGAGCATGTGAACATATGCGCATCCACGTAAAGGAAAAGGCGTGCTCTATTTCCTACCTGGCATTTCTGCTACTGCTATTTTGATAGACGTCAGGATCGCGTATATGTACCTGCCGTGCAGGATTAGTAGTGGATATCCTCATATGCAAACCCGCATCCAGCCTGCTTCGCACGGACGGTAAAGTGGCCACTTATGGTGGACGGAACAACCGTGCACGTTGACACTGAGTTCTCTGTAGAAAGGACTAAATCTATGGTGCTACCTTGGGGACAGAGAGGTGTAATACTTGTCGGGGACAGCACGTTGTGTGAGCCAATACTGGCTCCGCTCGTGCAGAGGATGAATTGATTTCTGCAACAGACCCAATAAGTGACCATGCCGTCCTTGCACTAAAAGGACGAGAGTTCTCGTCAGCTCAACACAGCAAGTACTTGGTGGACAGTGGTGCTGAGTTTCGTCTGGAGAACAAAGCAGTGCTCATTGAAAGTCTTGGCCATTACAAAAGGCAGACACGCAAAACTATAGCTGCTTTTAGCGACACTAGAAATTATAATGCATAGTACAAGGTATATTCCGTGTTAGACAATTCCGTAGAAATCATGGTCTCTATGTACTTCCAAATGTGATATCCAACTTTATCTTCCACAGAGGTGTTCCCTGGACCACTGTGAGTGATGTTCAAGAGAAAGCAATTTTCCAACTATTCGCCCTGAGACACGGTATTGCATGCACTGGTTCATTTATACGCTATACGTGATCTAATCTTTGGTTCCAGATACTTTGGATTTGGAATCCTGCATTCCGTGAGTGAATAAACAATATGTTTGTGCCTGCTACCTCAGCCAGTGCGTTCAGTAGATCTATTTTTGGTCGGGTCTTCCACTTTTAGGGCACTAAGAGATGCTCTGCTCGCCATCATGGGCTCGCGACGCGGATCGCTCTACACATTCAACTTAAGGCAAGGACATCTCGCGGATTGTTGACTGGGAAGTGACTTTGGAAAATTGACAACAGCGTCAGGAATTAGCATGCTGCGCAGTTTCTTTGCGTGTGCAACTATCCTAACATAAAGACCCTCAGTGAAGCATGAGAAACTGGACCTTATACACGCGATGATGTAGCCTCGTCACACAAATTCTCTCTAGGCTCCTTCTGTACAATCCACACAGAGCAGAACTTCTTTTACTTCTGGGTCATTTGAAAGGATTACAAGCAACTTGCGGACATAAAACTTAGCGCTGGTGCCACTCCGCAACACCATCATACATTGAAGAAAGCATATGCACGCTTTTACAAGTTTCATGTTGTTGGATTATATGGACAGACCTGCAAAAACGTTCAAAATACACGAAGTTCTTGAATTTAGTATACGAATCTGCGCAATCTCTACCAGCCCAAGTGAACACTTAGGAATTTTTGAACCGAACTTATTCGGTCCGTTCCCCCAAAAAGGATCTTACAAGGAATACAGCAAATACATGTACATGTACGACGAAATAGTGGTTGCGACTTAAGTGATGATTTTGTTAGGAAATGGGTTTGCCATCCAGAACACACGAGAAGTCCATCGAACCTTCGACTCGGCAAACCTGCAAGAAAGGACCACTCCCTGCTCAATATAGTGTTTCGGGGAATTCACTCCTCATCAGCTGAGCTTGAGTAGGCCGAGGAAGAGCACCACTTATAATTATAGGGCTCTCCAGGCACAAACATCACCAGGGATACAAACTCACAGACACGCTCCGTTTCCAGCGCGACAAATACCTCGTGAACACCAGATAGCAGCGTGATTCAGTGTTGTTGTTGTTGTTTCTTGTTTATAGCGTGATTCAGTGTCGCTCCTGGTTGGTGAGAACGGACGTAGAGGACCCTCGGTCATTAACAACACTGTCACATCCAAACAAGCTAGTCGCAAGCCTGCGCTAGGCACAACAGTATGAGATAGTATAACATGTAAAACTATTGGGCGTCCACTTCACCACCACCACATTTGCGCTCTGCGGCCGACCACGTTCATTCCCTACAACAGCAACAAGAGGTTCGGAGTACTGAAAAAATATTTCCTTCTGACAGCTGTTTCGGTCATCAAAGACTTGAGCAGACGTTGATGACTCGAAATAGAAATAAAGTATGACTACTGCATCTTGCTGCGCTGCAGTATAGGGCATAACTATAACTTCTATCCTGAGGTTCCTTTGATTTTACCAATAACACCTTGTCCTCGAGTTTTACACCTTATTTTTCACACTTTGAGTATCAAGCGGGCGCTTATTGATGCGCCATCTTGTTGCCAGAGTCGGTATAGAATAGGTGATATATTTTCTTTTCGAGTCAATCAACATTCTATGTTCTCTGATGAGGTCTCTGATGACTGAAACTGTTAACAGCTGTCAGACGGACATATTTTCAGCACTCCGAGCCTCTTGTTGTTGCTGTGGGGAATGAACGTGGTCGGCCGCAGAGCACAAATGTGGTGGTGGTAATGTGGACGCAGAATTTTCAAGTGCCAAGTGCTGCTGTTTACTTTCTTATGTGCGCCATTGAAGCTCCAGTGGAGTGGAGAGGAGAAGAAGAGTGAAGCAAGCAACTTAGTGCAGTGTCACCGAGGCAAGGTCCCATGGACATCTCGCATGACAGCTGTGTGCGTGTGTTGTCCAACCCAGTGTGTTTTTCCAACACAACAGCCAACAAATCTTCAATAATGACTGTGCCTACCAGTATGTACGTGAACTCAACGAGATGCGCACGAAGTGAGCCTACGGTGCAGTATGGTGATGGAGTGCATGGAGTAGATGACAGTTGGGCCACTCGCATGACTACTGTATCTGTGCTGAGCTGCAATATCCAGCATAACTATAACTTCTATCCTGAATTTCCTTTGATTTTCACGATAACACTTTGTCCTCGAGTTATTTTTCACACTTTGAGTATCAAGCGCGCGCTTATTGACGCGCCATATTGTTGCAAGAGTCATTATAAAATAGGTGATTTAGTTCTTTTTCGTGTCATTCAACATTCTACGTTCTCGGATGAGGTCTCTGATGACCGAAACAGCTGTCAGACGGAAATTGTTTCAGCACTCCGAGCCTCTTGTTGCTGTTGTGGGGAATGAACGTGGTCGGCCGAAGAGCGCAAATGCGGTGGTGGTAACGTGGACGCAGAATTTTCAAGTGCCAAGTGCTGCTGCTTACTTTCTTGTTGTATAACTATTATTTAAAATATTATTATAAGCTGGTTAGCGTTGACATCGCCAAGCAAGCTTGGCTAGTTTTCAATACATGTATGATTAAATTATAAATTGAAATTTCACGGTTCGCGTGCGACTCGGCTGGAAGCCGAGTTTTCCGCATCCGCCGTGGGAACACCACCACCCTCTAGGATCAAAAGGCCAGACGCAGCGCCTAAACGGTGGGAGGTGAGAAGATCAGACCCACCACCAAGTGGTCAAAGACCTAAATCTCATTAGCTGCATCCATTTTACCCTCGTGCCAGGCCACGAGTTCCCCCTATGGCTAAGCTAGCAATTATATACGCAAAGAATTGAGAGAGATAAACATCGCGCTACAAGTGTGAAAATTCAGCGGGTCAAAAACGGTTGTATAACTATTATTTTAAGCTTGCTTGGCGATGTCAACTCTTGACACTAGCACATCGAAAGTATCAAGAGGATGGACTATTCTTAGCACTCACACGTGGACAAACATCAAATTACTGAGGGGGTTGGACGTACAATTCTTCTGAACACACACATCAGGAGACAAGTTACGAAAGTAAAATTGAGAATTTTCTCTTTTGGCTCGTGGCAGATCCGAGTTACACTTGGCAGTTTTTAGAAGCATTGTCCATTTGTAGGTTGTCACCTGATTTTCACGTTTGTGTTCAGCAGGATATTGTTTTGCCCCTCCAATTGCACGTGTGAGTGCTAATAATATTTCAACAGCACAACGCCCTTCTTTTTCATTCACCGGATTCGTTTTAGTCGGCTGTTCATTCACGGACGCGTCTCTCAAGGAATGGGTAAAAAAGTGCCAGTTCGCGTAAGACTCACCTCGAAGCCCAGTTCTCCACATCCGCAGGTACGCCACCACCCTCTAGCATCAAGGCGCAGATGCAGCTCCTAAAGGGATGGGAGGTGAGTAGATCACAGACTGAAAATCCCATTCGCTGCATGCATGGCACTGAATGGGTGGGTCGATGAATTTTAACATTTGCCCAAGATGGAGTCCTTCCGGTGTACATACACCCATACTTTCCCACCTTCCGACCCAGCAAATAGTTAGATTTTGATAACAACGATTCAAAGCCTCTCAATTATGATACTTGACTATTCACCCTGGGAGTCAATGGCAGAGTATTGTTATGGTTGGCTAGCTATCTGTCTGGTCGTACTCAGCGTGTCAAGGTGTGTGAGGCTCTCTCTGATGCAGTCCCATGTTCAAGAGGTGTGCCCCAAGGCAGTGTTCTTGGGCCGCTTCTTTTTGTCCTTAACACGAGTGACATTTCCGACGTCATACCTTGCTTTGTTGTTCATCAGGAGTTCGGGGACAACATCATCCTAGATTATTCTGATTCAGATCTGGACACTGTTTGCAAGACGTTGACTACGGCTGTGAAACGTCTGTCTGACTAGCTCTCCGAAATTGGGCTTCTGCTGAATACCAGCAGAACCCAAGTCATGGTAATTCAACCTCGGGGACTCACTGGCGACATACCAGTCGTGAAATGTAAGGGACTCACTGGCGACATACCAGTCGTTAAATGTAAGGATCAAGCCTTCCACTGCCAAATACCTTTGCGTAACCATTGATGACCAGCTATCCTGGCAGCCACATGTCTCC